ACCAGGATTAGAGGGCCCACCTGACAAATGAAACCGACTTAAAGTGGGGCCAAACCATCCTAACCGCGATAAGGGCCCACCAATCAGTCTCCTAGTCAACAGAGAAGACTAGGAGGTGGAGCCCAGGGGTCACCCGAACCCCTGGTTCAGCTGAACCACCTCTGGCGCATCTCATCCTAGCCTTCCATGTCTAGGTCCCAAATGGCTTTCCAATGATGGTTATGCCCGATTCTCGGCCTGGATAACTGTTACAACCGTCATATAGAGGCTATAAAAGGAGGAGCTCATGCACCTTCAACACACACAACTTGAGCTCAACTAGAGTATAGCTCACTTGTAGTTTAATATTTAGTATGTTGGCTTAGTAGAGAGTGAAGGGAAGCTCTAGAAGGAATTCTCCAAAATATCAAAGTTCCTCCAAGAATTTCACGAAGGAGTGCCGGAGTGTTAACATTCTTGCAACGGAGTTTCGAAGAAAGTCGGAATTGTCAGCCATCTTCTCTCGCTTGTACCTCGACAGATGGTTCTTTTGTCAAAGTAAGTGTTCGAGTTTCTTTATGTTCTTTAATTAGTTTATTTAAGAGAGTTATATTCTCATCGGTGCAGGTTTGTCGCTTAGTGTGCAATTTAGTGCTCTAGTACTAGGACTCTGGATAAAGAAGGAACTTCCTTTTTGAGTTAATGCAAGCTGTTGGGTGTTGAGTCAATCAGTGTAGAAAAACAAGGGTTAATTGAATCCATGCCACTACAAATGTGTCAAATCAGAAAAACGCCACTACAATTCGTGATATCCACTTGGTGCTACTGAAATTTTGTAAAATTATAATCATTTCTTCGCCGTTCACTTTTCTGTCATCCTCGTAAGATCCACATCCCTTCCCCATCCGCTGTCGTGCCCTCCTTCTCCGGCGTACGCTAGAGAGACGAAGACGAGCAAGATGCGTGGCGAGCGAGCGGCCGTACTGGCGAGCGGTGGGACCAGCAAGCGGCGGGATGCGCATCCCGCTTGCCGCCGCCCTCACCGACGAGCTCTCCTCCTGCTCCGCCCCTTCCCCATCGCCATCGTTCCCTCTGTCTCCTCCGGCACAGGCTGGAGACGAAGACAAAGACGACGAGCGGCGAGCGAGAGGTGGGACCAGCAAGCTGCGGGATGGGCGTCCTGCTCGCCGCTGCCCTTGCCGAGGAGCTCTCATGCCCTCCTGCCCCTTCCTCATCGCCGTCGCGCCCACTTCCTCCTCTGGCGCAGGCTGGAGCCCAGACGAAGACGACAAACGGTGAGCGAGTGGCGGGATGCGTGTCCCACTCGCCGAGGAGCTCTCATGCCCTCCCGCCCCTTCCCCATTGCCGTTGCACCCACCTCCTCCTCCGGTGCAGGCTAGAGCCCAGACGAAGACGACGAGCGGTGAGCGAGTGGCGGGATGCACGTCCCGCTTGCCGCCGCCCTCGCCGAGGAGCTCTCCACCCGTCCCGCCCCTTCCCCATCGCCATCGTGCCCCCTTCCTCCCTCGGCACAGGTTGGAGACGAAGACGAAGACAACGAGCAGCGGTACCGGCGAGCGGCGGTGGGATGCGCGTCCCGTCCTACCCCTTCCCCATTGCCGTTGTGCTCTCCTCCTCCTCCGGCGCAGGTTGGAGACGAAGACGAAGATGACGAGCGGCAGGACAGGCGAGCGGCGTGGTGCGCGTCCCGCTCTCAGCCGCCCTCGCCGAGGTGCTCTCCACCCGTCCCGCCCCTTCCCCATCGCCGTCGTGCCCTCCTCCTCCTTTGGCGTAGGCTAAAGCCCAGAGGCGAAGACGACGAGCGGCGAGTGAGCAGCAGTACCATCGAGCGGCGGGGTGCGTGTCCTGCTCGCCGCCGCCCTCGCCGAGGAGCTCTCCTGCCCTCTTGTCCCTTCCCCATCGCCGTCGTGCCCTCGTCCTCCTTCGACGCTGCTTGGAGATGAAGACGACAAGGAGATGAAGGCACCGTGACAGAAAATGTGACAAAAATGACGGAAAACGTGATGGAGTGTCATGGTTCTAATTTTAGAAGATTTCAGTGGTATCTACCCTGTCGAGGGAAGACCCTCAATAGCGGGGAGTCGTGAGACCCTCCTTTCGTGAGTTCGGCCGGAGGCTCGTCTCTCGTTAGTCGCTTGCTCGTCCCTACGACTCTCAGGAGTGAATGCACGCAGTCGGATTATACAGGTTCGGGCCGCTATTGAGCGTAACACCCTACTCCTGTGTTTGGGATTATGGATGAGTTTTACAAGGGTTTTTTTTCCTTGAGAGAGCGCACTTGCTTCCTCTCTTCTGGAGTTCGGGTTTTCTTTTTCTTTTTTTGGCCCTCTCCCCCCTCCTTTTCTTTCCTAGGTGGGCAGGGTCCTCCTTTTATAGCTTAAGGGGATACCACATGTGCCACCTCTACTTCCCCTCCATGGGGGGGGGGGGAAACCCCACTCCACCTTTTTGGGTTTCAAACCGTGCCTTCTCTCGGAAGCTAACCAATAACCGATTCTTGCGCGGAACTCGGCGCCGTCCCCCCTGACACGGGGGTCAGCCCTGTCATTCCCTTATAAATGAACGATGACATGCAACAGCCCTTCCTCGAGTAGCGTCCGGATGTGACGGGTCATACCCACCCCCACTCCGCCGGGGACAAGGGCGACATGAGGACATGATTGCCTTATCCATCGGATGGGACGGAGACGGGCCGGTCACAAACCGGTCATACCCGATGGACAGGGGTTAGCTAGGCGCGCCGCACGTCTGTCCTGACCGCATTAAATGCGGTGAGGGACAGTTGGGGCGTCGCACATTTATGGCTATTCAGCCTGCGCTCCCTTCTTGCTCTCTCTCTCTCTCTGCCGCGCGGCAGCCGAGCGAGGGCCTCGGGGCGAAGCCGCGGGAGAGCCCGAGGGGGTGACGTCATGCCCCGAGGCCCCCCCCTCCCGCGCTTCTACGACTCGCGTGGCGCGCGAGTGGGGCCAACCTGCGGAGTCACGTGGCCGGAAGGAAAATAATTCTCCTCTACTCCACATACCCCCGGGCCCATATCTCCGACATACCCGATTTCATGAATAGTAGTGGCATTTTTCCAATATGGCATATTTACAATGGCATGGATCCAATTAAGGGAAACGAATGGGCCATATTGTTAACATTTGTGCTTGAGAAGCCTACGAGCCCAGGAGGCCGAAACTTCATTTCATCACAGAAAAAGTACACAGAAGGTCCCTCAACTTGTCATCGAGTTACAAAATCATCCCTGAACCATAAAACAAGATATCCGGCGTCCCACAACTAATCAAAACCGGTCACTTTAGGTCCTTCGGTGGTTTTGACCCTAGATTTATCCAACGTGGCGTCTGAGTCAGCGTGGGACCCACGTGGGCCCCCACGTGTCAGTATGCCACATCATCATCCTCTCTCTCCCCTCCTCTCCACTCTCCCTTCCTCCTCCTCCTCTCTCTCTCTCACTCTTCTCTTCTCTTCTCTTCTCTTCTCTAGGCGAGCTGGCCAGCAGCTAGGGAGGAGGCCGCCAGGGCGAGGCAGGAGAGGAGGAGGCAGCGGGCGGCGGCTGTGACGCGGGGGAAGGTCGTTGAGCAGCGAGCAGCAGGGAACAACAGAGGCTGAGCACGTTGGCGCACACACGCAGCTTCAGCGCGTCGCGTGGGCACGACGACGACCCGGTGCTGGCCGCCACGGCCATGGTGAGGAGGCTCACCGCTAGAACAAGCACCGCCTTCGCCGCCATTGCTATAGATCGAGCTTTGCTAGGCTGCTAGCTTGTACTTGTAGCTAGCTCGAGCTTGCACTGCTACTGCTGCTTTGCTGTGTGCTGGGCCTGGGAGTGTTCATGGCGAGGTGTATTGTGTATTTATAGTGGCCTTGGAGAAGAAGATGAGAGGAAGCGACGGCGCGGGAGCACCGGACCAGGAGGGCCTCCCCCCACGCCGCCCCCACCGCCACCGCCACCGCAACCGGCAGGTGGGAAGGAGGCCGACGGGGCGAAGCGGGGAGGCCGGTGAGTCTGCAAAGTCGCAGATGATGCCGCCGTGATGAGGTGCTCCTCCTCTTCGACGGAAACGGGGAGCAGGCCCACGCCATGGGCGTCGAGCTCGACCTCTCCGACAAGCCCGCCGGGCTCGACGTCCGGTCTCGCCGCTACGCGTTCCTGGCAGAGGACGGCGCCCACTGGGTCTAGCCGATGGCTGCCACTGCCAACGTCAAGCTCCTCTCCGACGGCCGCTGCTTCTTTCCCCGCTAGTCTTCGCCAGCTAGCGTCGCTGCTGCCAACGAGGGCCAACACCGCCAAGTTTAGGAGGACGCGCGGGCGACCGCTGGAGTCGCCTCCCGTCGAGCAGAGCGGAGAGCGAGACGACGCAAGGCGAGGGCGAGGAAGAGGCTGTCGCCGGTGGCGCCGCCGCCGCGTCCGTCTCCACCTCCGCTCCTCTCCCCGCCCATCGTCAGCCTAGCCCCGCTCCTTCCTCGCCGCCCGTCGCGCCGGCCCTCCTTTCCACTGCACTCCCCCCTGCTGGCCGCCAGCCACGCCCGCCGCACACGACCCTCCTCCCCTGCCGGCTGCTAGATGCCCCCGCCGCACACGCTGGGCCAGGGCCTCCTCCCATGCTGGGCACCGGCCGTGCCCGTCGCGCTGGCCCTCCTCCCCTGTTGGCCGTCGGACACGCACGCCGCACTCGCCGCGCAGGACCTCCTCCTCCGCCAGCCGCCTGCACTCATCCCCTTCCGGCCGTGATCCTGCAGAGGAGAAGTGAGAGAGAAAGGAAGGGAGAGGAGCTTACGTGGCATCCTGACATGTGGGCACATATGGGTCTCATACTGACTCAGCCGTCACGTAGGAAAAAACTGGGGTCCGAGGGACCTAAAATGAACGGCTCTGTGAGTTGAGGTACGTCGAATACCTGGTGTGGTTCGGGGATGATTTTGTAACTGGATGACAAGTTGAGGGACCTTCGGTGGACTTTTTCCTTTCATCACCGGGCGGCAGTCCAACGGCCGGAAAAACCAGAGAGAGAGAGAGAGAGAGGAGGAAAAACAAAAACAAATCAAAACCCTAACACATCCCAGCGGCCTCCTCCGCCATGCCATCGCCGCCGCCGCCGCCGCAGCCGTCGCCGCCGGAGCTGCCGATCTCGGAGCACGAGGACGAGATCATGGCTGCGGTGGAGGCGAACCCAGTGGTGGTGGTGATCGGTGAGACCGGCTCGGGGAAGAGCACCCAGCTCTCCCAGATACTCCACCGCCGCGGCTACACCCGCCGTGGTGCCATAGCCGTCACCCAGCCCCGTCGCGTCGCCGCCGTCTCGGTTTCCAGGTAACCCGACTCCGTGCTTCGCTTGTCTTCCCCCACGGTGGCACGGTCGCACCTGCGCGCGCTCGTTGTTATCTGCTACCTGGGAGTTTAGTACAACTTCCCCCTTTCTATTCATGTTGTTATTTTCAAATGTTGGTTTCCTTTTAGCTCAGGGTACATTCTTACTGGGTTCGTGTGGGTCTGGTTATGCCTGAAAAGCTCTCAGATGTGTTGGATTTTGGCCATTAGCACTTAAGGGATACGAAAATTGCAGATTCATCTTGAAATTTAGAATCGTGATGGTGGAGATACGAGAACATCGTTTGTAAAAACTGCAGCTGCTTTCTGGATAGCCAAGCCATTTATTTTAATTTAGAAGTGTTTTAAGGGGAGAAAACTTAAGAACCTGCTTGTTAAGAAATTTTGAAGTGGTTCTTCCTGGCGAGCAGCACTATGTTTACAGCATATGCATATTTATACATGTACAGAGAAGAATAGTTTTCCAGTGTAGTCTTGTGCTATGCCTATATTCAAGTGTGGAAAATGTTTTTTAGGATGCCATTATGAATGCTGGCAATCTGAATATTTGCAGGAGAGTAGCACAGGAGCTCAGTGTTCCCCTTGGTGATGAAGTTGGTTATGCCATCCGATTTGAAGATAGAACTTCAGAGAAAACCTGCATAAAGTAAGCCTCAGAGGGTGTTTATGTGACTTGAATTTCTTCTTGAACAATATGCGAACTCATTCTATTTTCGGATATGCAGGTACCTGACAGATGGTGTTCTTCTGCGCGAAAGCCTTTCAGACCCTGAGTTGAAGCAGTATTCAGTAATTATTCTGGATGAAGCTCACGAGCGCAGTTTAAACACGTATGCGTTTTATATGTTCAACTGATCTATAAGAGTTTGAATTAAAGTTTAGCACTTTATCAAGTTTGCTGCTTACTCTTCAGTTATTCCACACCCATTTCTTGTTGTTTGAATTGAAAACTTGTGATTTGAAAACAAAATAAGATAATTACCGGGAATGGGTCATACACTACATTTAGTTATAGTAATATGCTAAACTTTTGTTGCTTATACACTACATAGATTTACCCAAGATTGATTGCATGCCTGTTGAACTTTTGTTGCTTATGTGTCCGGTTTTTGGAACAGTGAACAAAACAGTGCTGGGAAGCCATTCTGTGTGCCATGAAACTGGGAGTCAACATAAATGTATTGGTTATATTTGGTCTTCCTGTACCTATTTTATATAAATCAACTTAGCTTTGCCTTTTCTTCTGATGCGTTCTTTCTCTACTGCTAGGAATTAGTACCTATACGATATTTTCACTCACAAGTAATGTAGACATCTAGTATGTGTTCTCAAAATTGACTTTGATATAATCGATAGTTCTCTATATTAGATGTTTACCTGGACAACTTTGAATGGGAGGGCCTCGGATCGCAAATGCCTAGTAACTATTTACTAACTGTAGGATGCAACTTTACTGTGGTTTTCGTTCTCCATATTTTGCCCATATTTATTATAATTGGTTCTCAGATGCTTCAATTGTAAGCTAGCAATTGTATTTTTAAAGTGATCGATAGTCAGTACTAACTTTTTCTTGTTTGGCATCGGCCACACGACCGCTGGATTTTGTTGCTATTTGTTGAAAGCTTTAGTCGCGTTCTGATATTTGTTTGTTTACAGTGATATTCTTCTAGGTTTAATGAAACGATTAATTAAGGATCGAGCTTCAGATTTGAAAGTTCTGATCACTTCTGCTACTCTTGATGGTTTGAAAGTGTCAAAGTTCTTCTCTGGATGTCCTGTGTTGAATATCCCTGGAACCTTATTCCCTGTGGAGAAGTTTTACAGCACAGAACATCCAACGAATTATATAGAATCTTCTCTGAGAACCGCTATAGGTAATTATCATTTTCTTTATGTGGCTATATTTTAAACCTTGACAATGACATGTGAATATTGTTGGTGCATCTCTATTAAGTCACTATGTGTTATTTCACTACTGGAATACATCAATCATTGTCATAACAGATAAGCTATGTAACAAATGTCATGGATGGTTTTGATATGTGCCCATGAATGGGCTAGCATTATAGTGGCAAGAGGGTAACTAGGCCAGTTTCCCTTGAATCTCTCTTACAGTATTCGTCCTGCTATGGTCAAGTTGGATGGACAAATAATGTAAAAAAAAAAGATGAAATAAGTGCTGGACCTGCTACACCTATGAATAACCTCTTTAAAGCTCTGGCGAATTTGGGATGTGTCTGTATCTGATGGCTCTTATTTATGTTAAGTACACTCCGCACTGGTTTTACTAACATTATAAAACATCATTTTAAAAAACTACTTTTTTTAAAGCCATATCTTGGGATACCATCATGGTTGTTAAGGCGCCCCTAAGGCGGTAAGGCGCTGCCTCCGCTTTACGGGAAAAACTAGAGAAAGGGCAAAATCAAGGGGATAAACCAATCCTGGAGAAGGAGCGGCAGCAGGGGAAGGGGGAGGAATGAAAATAGCTGACCTATGTGGTTGTCGCTGTCGTCCCCGACCACTGGCAAAGCCAGATCCACCTTCCTCGATGCCCAGCACCACCTGATGATGAGGAGCGGTGGCGGCAGGGGAAGAGGGAGGACCAGAGGGGATGGACGCGACGGCTGCGGAGAGGTCTTGCCGTCGGTGGCAGTGGAGCGGAGGCGAGTAGGTGGCGCCGATGGGATTGAGGATGGGGATGGGGACGGGGATGGGGATGGATAGATAAATATCTGTCACCATCTTCCATTTTAGTCCTTGGACTCTAGATATTACAAAGAAGTCCTTCATTTCCTATTTTCATCTTCCATTTTAATCCTTGGACTCTAGATATTACGAAAAAGTCTTTCATTTCCTATTTTTCTATCTGTATAAGGCGTTGCCTCGCCTTATGCCTTACTGCCTAAGGTGTAAGGTGTGCTGGGTCCTCGCCTTACGCCTTACCGCCTTAACAATACCATGATTTTTTTAACGAAATACACATATTAGTGTCAGAGGAGTATGTCTGCTGACATATGATTTATATTCATGCTGGAAAAATCAAATTTTTTATTATTTGAAAATAATAACAATATATTTTGTTAAACTTTTGGGCCATGGTGTTTCATATTTGCTTAACTATTTGATATCTATACTCCTTTAAAAGAAGACAATGGTGGTGGCAGTGAATCTGCCACCCACCAACTCTGTTGTATTTTTTTACCAACTACTCCTATGTGTACTTTAATTTTATAAAACAGTACTTCTACATATTGTTAATATCTTATTTCATCCCTAGAATTTATGTTTACCATGCAAAGACATCCACAGGGAATCAGGGATGATATTGTTCCAAAAATCTTACAATTAACTTGTTCCAAACAATGTTAGCACATGTATAATTCATTTTTATCCATAGCAAATCACAGGTATTTAGCTAGTGTTTCTAACAGTTCCAAACATTCTTTTTCTTCAACAGATATTCATGTTAAGGAATCCCCTGGTGATGTCTTAATATTCATGACAGGAAAGGTTAGCAGAATATATATTTTTTTTGCATGCTTGAGCTTGATGTTTCTGAAACTTTGAAGGATATTTTTTTTGTTCTATTTGACACTAAGGATATCGTCAGAGATATGCTATAAAATCAGTAATACTCCTGGATTTTTGGGCTTTCATCTAGTTATAATTTAATGCCCCAAAACAGCCCCGTGTTTACTTTATTGTATATCTCTACTACTTAAAAGCGGAGTCCTCCTCCTTACTCTTCTTCCATCGTGTAATCAGTTGTATCTCGATTCTCCCTCCATCCCTTCTCTCACCCCACCGCCCATAAGTGGTTGGGTCTCGATTCACACTCCCAACCCATCCCTAGTCATATGGGCCCATGCAACCCATTCTAATCATATGGGCATGTTGCAATGCATGGGCATGTTACTAGTATGGCAAAAAAACACAACGTTTACTGGTCTGTTTTTGGAACACTGATTAACTAAACATTTATGGATCAATGGATGATCTCCATTTCTTTGCTAAACTTTTCTCCCTTTCTTTTGTTGTACTCCGTACTTACACAGACCTTTTGAATTAATTGAATGGTATTTTGTCAGGATGACATTGATAAGATGGTATCAAAATTGGAGGAAAGAATTCAAAATCTAGAGGAAGGTTCTTGTATGGATGCTCTTGTCCTTCCACTTCACGGTTCTTTGCCACCTGAACAACAGGTAATTCATTAATCTTCCATTCTAGTGTATTGTTATATTTGTTTCTTGCATATATGACATCCCATGAATGCTTGTATATGACATTTTGGACATGTATGTGGTCTCCAATATGCGCCTTTGAATACTTTGTTTGATTATGCTCATGAAAATTTCGTGGAGCTTTTATATTACTACCTCCGTTCTTTTTTGGTGACTTTTGGGACATGACATAGTCATAAAATTCATTATTGATAGCGATATGAAAGTATTCTTCATGACGGGCCTATTAATTTCATTTTCACCTATAAATCTTTTAGGTATTCTTCATGACAGGCCTATTAATGTCATTCACCTATAAATCTTATAGCGATTAGGAGGTGTTTGCATTTGTTTATGAGTCAAGATTCCAAGGTTTGACTGCACACGTTCTAAAACATCATCTGTTTGAGAATAGACGGAGTGTGAAATACTATTATTAACAAATTTGATAATGTCAACTTCACCTGAAATATGTTTTTTATATACTGATGTTTGAATTTAAGGAAATTTGAGTGTATGTTTTAGATTATAATACAAATTTGAACAGAGAATATATTTTAATCTTTCAGTTACTTAATCAATTTAATTTTTCGTATATGAGCTTATCTAGTGATCCATAGCTACTGAACCTAATAAACACACCTGGCCATGTTTCTTCTCCATTTCTCTAATTGATCAATGAAGCTTGGCATTGCAATGTACAGTTCCTACACTATTGCAGCTAAGTGAAATTTCTTAGCAGGCAAAAGTCTTCTGAACAAGCCTTACAATTACTTATCTAGTAGTAGATTATATTAAAGCAAAATTTGTAAGATTTTGTGATGTCACTGAAAAAAATTGCCAACTAGGAATATTTCAATGTTTATTTTTCCTTTTTTGTTGTGTGTATTGCTTGCTGTTGATCGACTTTCTTGGGGGACTAGAGTATCTTTTTTATTCTGTGCTTGCTGCATTGCTGCAACAGGATAACCTTGGATGATATTTAACCAACCCCCTAACAATATATGGCTATGATAGCAAAATTTAACTACCTGGGGATCACGTTCTAACAAATGGATGCACTGATGGATGCGAATTATAATAGGCTCAACTGAGAGTTGAAAAGCAAGGTCGATCCCGATTTGTTGCCAAAGCTGCTGTTTTGGTCTAATCTTTTTGGGTTTAAGCACACTTATTAGTATTTATATTCATTAATTGTCCTTCATTCCATTTGTTGGTAAATGTTTGATGCTCTATAGTATCATTGCTGATGTATTCCCTTGTCACAATAGGTCCGGGTATTTGCTCCAGCACCTCCAAATTGTCGACGCTTCATTGTTGCAACAAATGTAGCTGAAACATCTCTTACTGTGGATGGTGTTGTGTAAGCAGCAAACTGCAAACATAGTCAGTTAAAGTGCACATATACTTTCAGTTTCCATCTTCAGCCTTTTTTATTTATTTAGTGATAGATTATTGTGTTTATGATGTATTTAGCTGATTTTGTGGAAAAGTATATGCAAATAAATACTTTTTTTAGAGTTATGCAAGGAAATGGCTAGAATTTTTGTTATGAACTACTAGTAACATGCTATTAAATTTATGAGAGTTACATCAACTGATCTGCTAGTATCAGTTTTTGAAGTGTATTTTTGTAAAAAAAAATGGTAGGAGCAAATGGCTATAATATCATTAAATTCACATGAATGCTTATATTCTTAAACTTAAAAGGAAAAAAATATATGGTTTATATGTTGAATTCACAAACTAATTATCTATTTGATTTTATATAAAAGAAATATGCATAACTTGGAGATACCTTGTACATGTCTAGGAGGAAAAAGCTTGAATATAGCTTTGCCACTCGCTCTTTAATGTACGTACGAAGTTGTGATTTGAGTATGATCTTTCATCCTGAGAAATTAGTGTTACGATTAAAATAATGTGCTGATGAACATTTGTGATTTCATTAGCTGTTTTGTTAATAAATAAGAAACTGCTGAACTGATATTGCGTTATCAAAATTTGCAATCTTTCTATTACCCTGCTGAACTTGGAATGGCTGCAATTTTGTTCTTGGAGACGTGTTTTTTCCTTTTTCTTTTGGGTTTGTATGCAAATCACTAAAATATTTTTTTATGCACTAGGTTTGTGATTGATTGTGGTTATGTAAAGCAACGCCAGTATAACCCATCGTCTGGAATGTATTCACTTGACGTAGTTCAGATTAGCAGGTAAATACTATGTTGCACACACTGTGGTTATCTGTCTACTGTCTTCATCTGTTCAACTAGATCATGATCCTGTTCAGAGATATCTAGTTATGATCCATAATATTTACCATACTACTTCTTGAATAACAAGAGTGCAGGCTGACCAGCGAGCTGGGCGAGCTGGAAGAACTCGGCCTGGGAAGTGCTATAGGTTATACCCAATTTCCATTTATCAAAAGGAGTTTCTCGAGGCTACAATCCCAGAAATCCAGCGTTCTTCTCTTGCCGGAAGTGTTTTGTATCTAAAATCGTTAGATCTACCTGATATCAACATACTGAAGTTTGATTTCCTTGACCCACCATCTCGTAAGATAAAACTCCAGAATTCTCTATTCTTAATTATAGCTCTTCAATCTTCATCCATCTTTAATGCTTTTTTGTTGTTAGAAATCACTTTATCTATTGGATTAGCTCCAAAAGGCAAACATAGACAACGGCCATTGGCAAAGGAAAACGAGAAGAACACCCTAATCTACAGAAACTAGATATATACTCCCTTCGTATATAAATATATGATCCCATTGACTTTATTCGTTCAATTTTGGAAAGTTTTACCATCAATAGCTCTCAAAATATTTATTTTGAAAACATAAAAAATCATATCGGTAGGTTTTTCTTTACAAGTACTTTTACAATATTATAATTTGTTAGATATTATCGTTATATTCTAATAGACAAGTAGTGGTCAAAGTTGCACACCAAAGATTGAATAAAGTCAATTGCCATATATTTGAATACAAATGTAGTGCTATTCACAACATAAGTAGCTGTTGGTAAAATCTTGGTTCTGCATGGTTTAACTTAAGTTATTACATTTATTGTTCTAGGTCCAGCCTCCACCCAAATACTTTCATGGTGGCTGGACGAGCCTATTTCAAAAGGCATATGACCTACTCCTTCCGTCCCATTTTAAGTGCAATCATGAGGTTTCGTGCCCAACTTTGATTGTCCGTTTATTTGAAATTTTTTTATAATTAATATTTTCATTGTTATAAGATGATAAAACATGAATAGTACTTTATGTGTGACTTATGTTTATAATTTTTTTTCCAAAAAACTTTCAATAAGACAGACGATCAAAGTTGGACATAGAAAATCATGGCTACACTTAAAATGGGACAGAGAGAGTACTAACCTTACGCTCCATTTGGCACTGTGGTGGATTATGATAATATCTTTTGATGCACCTGTTTTAGGAGTTGATGCCCGCTAACTCCTAAAGCCCAACATGCAAGTGTGCCACATGATCACCCTCTAGCATTTATTATCTAGAATATTTTAAATCACATGCAAGTGTACCACATCATCATCCATAGCAGTTATTATCTAGAGTATTTTAAATGTCATGCAAACATGACATATCATTTACAATTTTGTTGTATTTTTAGAACTCAATATGCAAGCAATGTCAAATCATTATTTCCACATCATTTTTACATTATTTAAACATATACATATACCATTTATACAATGTACAATATGCATTCATCCACATATCCCGCAGCAAAGCGCGGGGATATCAACTAGTAGCTTACTATTCCTGTTTGGTATCAGGAGATCCTCAGTGAAACTGCATCCACTTCTTTGCCTGTACAAATTGTCTTGTGAAATAAAAACTAGTATTGTCTATCTCTTACCTTTGATGCACAATGACCTGCAGGTGAATCATTAGAAGATGCTTTGAGGCAATTATACCTCATCGATGCAATTGATGAAAATGGGCAAATAACAGATGTAGGACGAATTATGGCAGGTATTCTCAGCTTGCTTGTCCCATTTCAATTGAAATGAAATCAGGTGGTTATTTGAGTTTGTCTTCACTCTTGAACAATGTATGCAATTAAAGTTTGATCAAATCACGAGCATATCTGGTTTCTTTTTCTTTTATTTGAACTTCACATGGTCTAATTTTATTTGTTGCATACCAATATAATATTGTTGTATCTTTAGTTCAATATGTGCATGTGCGTTTTTGATGACTCTGTTAGCACATCCAGCACATGAAGTAACTGTTGATGTGTGGAGCGGCAGCATGAACAGGGATGATCATTTTCTGTGTTTGTCATCTTCTTTTTGTTAACCTTTTGGCTTTATTTTAAGAAGTTTATACTCTTAAATATGTAACGGTCTAACCTCTAATGTTCTATATAAGGAGGCCATACCTGGCAATGTTTTGATATTTCAATTCAGAAATGTCTGATATATACAACTGTTAAGAGGTCTAATGTTTTTGTGCAAAGCTTCAGGCAGTTTATGTTGACATTGTTGTTTTATTGGTATTTCTAACAGGAATACTTACCTAGTAGCCTCCGGTCAGATTACTGCGTTTTGGGGATTTTTCTTTTTTTTTTACCCCTCCAGTGTTTGCCGCGTGTTAAACTGTTTTCTTTCCTAGCTGTGACTGGCTCTTTTTTCTCTTAATGACGTAGCTGGTGTCCAGTTTTGTTTGTTGACGTTTCTACAGGGGTTTCGTATACGTGCCGGTCTTTGGGTTTTTACAATTTTTGTAGTTGACTTGCTTACCTGGTTATTTCTGCTCTGCGTGTTTTTTCCTTGGTGTGTTCGGCTGCTGCTTGTGCACGGCTTGTGTTTGCATGCGTCCTGCACGTGGTGCCATGCGCTTGTGTGTGTAGCCTCGTGGGTGTGCCCATGCTGTCTTACGTGGCTGCTCCCAACCCTTTTGTTTCTACTCCTATTTCTTATTTTCTTTTTCCCTTTCATATATTTAGCCTTGATCGTCCCAAAGTTTTTCATGCTTGCTGTATGTTACGTTTCCTTAATCAACGTTGTGTTGTCATCTTCGGTTGCTAGGTCGCGTTGTGCTGCTGTTCGGTGCCGTTCTTGTTTTGATCTTCAAGCTGGCAATGGTCTGTTTATTGTTTCTTGTTTTACTTTTATAATTTGTACAGTTTTTTTTCCTTATACTACAACCGTGTGTTTTTCCTCCCGTTGACTCAAATCCTTTTTGTGTTCACACTTCACAGTGTGTTCTCCGATAGAATTGCTATCGTTCTCTTAATTTTGCTTTGCACTTATGCGGGTATGCCACTGGTTGCTTGGCGCTACATATAGTTTGTGCTGGATGATTCTGATGATTCTATTGTTGCCTCTTCATTGAGCATGAAGGTAGCAGCAGGAATCCGTCCACATATACCCCATGCCAGGTAGCCTGAAATGTCTACAGGGCTAGAAATCTCAATAATTCTCATCTCATCCATGAGCTGAAGGAATTTAAAAGATTATGAGTTTGGGTTTTTTTGTACCATCCTTGAGAAATATGTTGAAGTACCAAAAATTTTTATGTAAAATTAGTATCTCGAGGTATCAAAATTTTACACTACAAAATATAGTATCTCGAGTTTTGTCTTTTCCACTGGTTTCCAACCAGAAGCAGCCTTCAGGAGTGTATAGTGCACTTTTTTCGGTTTCAAGGTAGTGCCATGGTTTCTTACACTTATCTAAGTGCAATTCCAGGTCAAGGAAAACTCCATTCCTAATCTGTTATCTGATCAACTGATAAAGCAATGAACCAGATGGATTTGTTCTCGCAAGATGCTTGTTGGGCATAGACTAGTTTACTAAGCTAGAAAACGTACTATATCTATGCTTGCTTTAATGCTTTGAAGTGGAACAACAGGCTAATATGGAACCACATGAGAGCGAACGGAAAGCATATTTGGATTTTAGGGGTTTTTACAACAAAGAGTGAATTTTTTAGTTAATCACGGCACATATGCATGTTTACAAGTTTCTATAAGCAATATTATATGATAGTTGATATTAACCTGTGCTGTGATCATCATGTGTGGATGTGCGATCATCAAGTTTCTATAAGTTGATATTTTATCTTACATTAGCCATGTGTGGATTGTCATCATGTGTATAAAATATTTTTAGTATTCTTTTAGGCCAAATAAAACTGAAGTGAAACGAGTAATTGCCTGAGCGCGGCGTGTCGCCGCGTGGGCACGTCTAGTTTTTTAATGTCTGGTGAGTTTTTGTGTAGTAAGATTTGTTCCCTGTGCAATGGCCATAGTTTTCCTCTTGTTTTGTCTTGAGTATGAGCCGTTTACATGTCTATATAATGTTTGGAATTTGAATATCTCCACAATGTTATAGAACCTGTCTTGGGAACAAGCTGTTGCTTTTGTAATGATCTGGAAATTTCCACAGTTTTGTACTATCTGCTTCTAATTTTCTAGATATATGATATTTATTGGGAAAATTTTGTATTTGCAACTAGTAACTTGTCTAATACTCCCTCTGTTTCATATTGTAAGATATTTTGGGTTTGTCATAAGTCAAACTTCTCAAGTTTGACCAAGTTTATAGAAAAAAAGTAATAACATCTACAACACCAAATTAGTTTCATTACTATTTGTATACTATATTTGTTTTGTGTTGAAAATATTGCTATTCATTTTTCTGTAAAACTTGGTTAAACTTATAGAAGAATAGAAGATTGACTTAGGACAAACCCATAATGACTTATAATGGAAGGAAGAAGTATCAAGTTGTCAACTATATATTCGAAAACCATTCTTTTCACATGCCAGTGTTCCATCAGGTCACATTCTTACATGACTGGTATATGAGAAAACTGTTGTGAGATTTTTACTTGTAATTCATAACTTCTTAAATCCTGCAATATGTTGCTAGGCTTGATAACCAATTGTTTACCTATGTCATCTGAGCCCATTAGTTCCCATATAAAAGCAGTGGTCAATATCTCCAGGTCCAGCAGCATTGCGCACATGAACAGTACCCGCGTGGTTACTGTTCAAACGTATGAAGCTCACGTGATTGCTTTAATTTAGATTAATGAGTTATTTATTACCATGATCTTAGATATAAGTTTCTTAAGAGGCAATATAAGGATGGGGCTGTATTTCTGTTCATTAAGCAAGAGATAAACAAGTGTCTTTAGTCTCGCCATCTTCTTGCCTGCCCTTGTGGTACACAGCCTCCATGGTGCCAATGTGCCACTTGGGTCAACTATGCCTAAGGCCCTTATCTTAGTAATGCCCATTACATGCTATTGTATTTTATGATTGTACGCGACATGATTTGCTAGACTAAATATGGTGCTTGTAGTAGATATAGGAGTATGACGTGGGTGTGGGTCACTCTGTTTGTACCTGTTGACTGACTCTGGTTCAACAAAACCAATTTTACTTTTGTTGAACTAGAGTGGGTCAACGGGTACCCACAGAGTAATTTGTACCCATCTAAAAGTAGCTATATTATTCCTACCCCTTTACTAGAAATGTTGCAATTGCTTATCTGTACTGGAGTACATAACAGAACCTAGTGGGTACTGGGTAGCGATGATGCTGAAATTGTGAGTGTGTGATAAATTATGATGGCTTCATGATGGACTGTTATTCACATGTGATGAATTCTGTTTGTTGGATATGATTTGTGTGTATGCCACTGATAGATAAATTATTTGTGATGGACACAATGTGCAAGGGTGATGCCAAATTTTTGTGGCAGCCAACGCACCCCCTTCTGCCTAAAAAGACTTGGTGCCAATAACCCTTGGCTCCAGTTACCTGATGTTGACCCATGGCCACGTCGGGATCCAGCGTCGCACAGCTGCACCAGGGTTGATGGTGCTGGAATGTTGTTTAGAAAAGAACCAGTACGTCAAAATTCTAGTGTCAAGTAACTTATGGACTTATGCAAGATATGTTGTCCCGTGATATGTGTGCAGAGCTCCCTCTTGAGCCTTCTCTTTCAAGGACTTTGATTGAAGCAAACGAATTGGGATGTCTATCTCAGGCATTGACTGTTGCTGCAGTTCTGTCAGCTGAAATCACATTCCGGTCAACTAGAAGGTGGGCATTTTGTTTTGTAATTCATCTAAGCTACTGTAACACATTGAATTTTATGGTGAACTTATTGCACCCTTACAGCAAAGACATGGAGGGAAAGAGGAAAAGGCAAGAGCTTCCTGATGGTTCTGGTTGGGGCGACCATATACAGTTGCTTCAGATATTTGAAAGTTGGGATCGAACAGGCTATGATCCAAGATGGTGCTCAGATCATGAGTTGCAGGTGAATGAAAATAACATTTTGATTCTAATATGATACAGTGAAAGGAATAAAATTATTAAGTACTAGTGTTGCAAAAATAAATGCAACTGTGTTGGACCTTCCTGCATAGAACAAGCCGAATCACAAAGCATGATATAATACCTGAATTTTATTTTAAATAGGTCATCGAAGCATGTCATGTTAAATGGGAACATATCCTATGTACACAAGTTTCTGATACACACTCTGTGCACAGCAATTAACAAATGTCTTCGAAAATTCTAGAAAAAATTGGACATGCAATCCTAATAGTACTCCCTCCATTTGGAATTGATAAGTGCAAAAGCAAAACATTCAGAATTGATCAGTGCATAAGAGCAGGTACAATAGCAGGCTATTAGCCGGCTATAAACATATTTTAATGAGATAAATGATGAGAGAGAAGAGCAGCGGGCTACAGATTTGTAGCCAGCTGCAGCACGGACTCCAAGACACAATGTGTGTATGACAGGTGGGACCATATATTAATAGTATAGTAAGCAACTATTGTATGAATTGGCTATTAGATTGGCTATAGATGAATTGGAGCTAGTAGTGAGCTATACTATTGAACTTGCTCTAAGGATGTGGTAGCTGTTCAGTTTTGCATGTAAATTTATTGTTTTCCCATGCAAGGATTGGGTGGCTCTTTGATTTACATGCTAGCCAATCAGTTTTGCATGCAGATTTATTGCTTTGGCATGCAAGGATTGCCTGGCTCTTCGGTTCTCATTCAAGCCAATCAATTGAGCAAAAATAGGATGCTTCATTGAATAAAAATTGGCTGCTCGTCTTCTCATTTTGCATGCAAGTGTTCCTTAGTCTGGAGCCCAGGTGAAATAGGTTGATCAAATTCGAATGGAGGGAGTATTACACATATGTGTAAAGTCTCATCTGAAAATTCATTATATTTTAGCCGTAGCAAAAAAAGAAAAAACTGTCAGGTATAAGAGTATACTATCAGAATTTTGTCTTTTATGTTACGTCTAAAAATAATTAATTCAAACATGAGATTTCACACATAGGTGTAATACAATTGAGAGTACAAGTCTACTTTTTTCTAGAATTTTTGGAGATATTTGTTAGTTGGTGTGCATGAAGTGTGCACCGGAAGCTTGTGTGCATATGATACGTTCCCATCTTAAATTGCCTTTTAGCATTTATAGTTTTCATGCTAGCAATGCAAACTTTGAAACATATAACAAGGATAACATTGTGTGATCATCATATCTATATGCCTGCATATACTGTTTGTCATGATACTTACAGACTTTATACCCCCTAGATAGTTTTCTAGACATTAGATTACAATGTAGATCACAGAACTATCTTTTGCAGGTGAGAGGCATGAAATTCAGCAAAGATGTGAGAAACCAATTAAGTCAGATTATTCAAAAAATTGCAAAAGGTCGGTGATCAGTAATTCTAGTTTCTGTTTTATTGTGTACCCACCCTTTCAAAAACCTACTACCTGTTTGCTTCTTCCTTTCCTGGGACACCTCTGTTGTTGAGCTGTTTTTTCCTCTTTTGTCAATTCGTTGTTCTACTTTTTGAATTTTAACTTCTAGGAACTACCACAAAGATATTGTTACATATGCCCTCCATGAAGATGTACGTCCTACCTCTAGAACCTCAGTAATATCCATGCAGTGCTCGACTACAGATGCAATATAACCTGAACTCATCTTGCTCGTATTGCAACCAAAATATGTAATAGATCCAGAGCCCAGCGCATTACGTATTCCAATGTTCACTCAACTACTATGTTTAAGTTTGGCCCGTATATCAAAAACTACTAAACCTACCTCTTTTTTTGTAAATTTAGGTTCAACAGATGTGCAAGCAAAGAAAGAGCGGAAGAGTGACCCTGATTATAGAAAATTAAGGAGAGCTCTATGTGTTGGATATGGTAACCAGCTCGCTGAGAGGATGCTGCATCACAATGGTTATCATACGGTTGGATACAGGGCACAACTAGTGCAGGTATTGACTTCTGCAATCTATCAGATTAGTTTTGCTATAGTGTCAAGCATAAATGGCAAGGGTAAATTGAGATGATTCTGGCGAATGAAACATTAGCCAGCTTAACCAAACCAAAAGGTAGCAGTTTTTTGTGCCAAACTTTTTACTAGATGTAGAAGCCAATGAAACTTTCAGTTGCTACTTGAACTGTTTAGATATGCTGAATATGCTTTGCTGAGAGTATGCAGTTTGTTCTCGGGTAATTGTCGACAAAGTATTTTAGATATGCTGGATATTAGCTGCAAATAATAGTTGTCTCATGCAACAGGAACGCATGAATCTCACAGTGACTGGTTTAAGCTGTTTTTGTAGAATTTTGTCATTTTGGTTTTGACTACATTCTTTAGTTTACAAACTTAATTACTGTTGACCCTTTACAGTTTGTTATATATTCTTTTTGCAGGTGCATCCATTTTCCGTACTGGAAGGTGATGAATACGGGAAACTGCCGGTATATGTTGTCTACCATGAGTTAATAAATACTACTCGTCCTTTCATGAGAAATGTTAGTGCCGTGGATCAGTCTTGGGTTAAACCTATATTGAAGAAGCTTGAAAGATTGGACATGAACAAATTAAGGTATGAAATATATGGGTTAAAATAATTACTATTTCTAACATGGCAATTTATGCTACTACAGTAATAATCTCAATTATATTACAGTGGTGGTTCCAGCGGATCGAAAGATCCAGAACCTCTAGAGGATAAACAAGTAAGCTCCCCAAAGAAAGCAATGGATGTTAAACAATCTGACGTGGACAGTAAAATACAGGCAGCTCGCGAGCGCTACCTGGCTCGAAAAGGCAAGAAATGACAGTATGTGCTTAACCAAGCTATTCTTTGGAGGGTAGGTCCCATACGTAATGAGAGGAACAGGGAGTGATAACATGACAATCTTCAGTATCATATTTCCCTACCTCTTATTACTTACCATAGCAGAAGTACTGTAGGTACAAGCAGAGACATTTATGTGAGTCTAAATTTCATCATATCCATCCATTTGTCAAGCTTGAGAACTTTGTAACCGTTTAAAGGCCTGTTTGGCTGGTGTCTTGGTGCCATATGCCTGAGGATTTTGCATGCCAGAGAGCCACCCGAGATGATGAATTTTGCCTAGTCAGGCAGCATGTCTCTTTTGATTGTTTGGTTTCGCACAGCTGTCTGAGGAAAAATTGGGTTAGGCTTTAGATGATTACTGCTAATCAAATGTTGATCGGAAGATAATCTTGCTACCATTGCAATCATGCATCGCCCCTTCAAACAAAATCCATCCACTGCCAACTTTCCGTAAACAAATAATTTGCATACTAAAATCTATCCAAATAAGCTCTTGAATCTATTCAGCGAAGTGGAAGCTGCAGAGATGACTGGCGGTTCACATGATGGCTACAGTGCAGCGGCGGCGCTGGCTGCAACAGCGTTGGCAGCTTCGCGCAACGGCCTTTGCGGCGGCAAGATCCTGTGACCGAGGGTACCAATCAAGGGCCACATCTTTTACCCTACAACATATATGTTGATGATATATGTTGATGCTAAAATGTGAATCTTAAAATTTAATTTTCGAGTTAATTTTGAGGGTTTTTTTTATCGTAGTTTCATTTTCAACATTGGCGTTCAAGTCATTAAGAACACATGTAAAAGTTTTAAGAGTAAATTTCACAAAACTACAGGTATTTTGCATAATTTATCAAAAAAACTACATATTTAAGATTTAAGAGCTTGTTTCATAAAACTACAGATTTAGTGTCTCAATTTATCACAAAACTACAGATTTATACAAACTATCACAAAACTATATATTTAAGAATATGTTTCGCAAAACTATAAATTTAGTGCATTTGTTTATCATAGAACTATACATTTAGTGTCTTCATTTATCACAAAACTACAGGTTTCACAAAACTATAAGTTTAGTACTAAACCTGTAGTTTTGTGATAAATGAAGATATTAAATTTGTAGTTCTGTGAAACAAGTTCTTAAATCTGTAGTTTTGTGATATATTGTGCAAAGTACATATAGTTTTATGATAAATGAAGACATTAAATCTGTAGTTTTGTGAAACAAGTTTTTAGTCCTACGCTGAGAAAAGATAGGGGAAAGAGATAAGGAGTTAGAGGAAGGAAAGAGATAAGGATAGAGGAAAAAGAGATAGTGGAGAGATAAAGATGAGAAAGTCTAAGTCTATGGTGGTTCGATATATTTAAGACGTGGGAGGGAGATAGTTGGTGATATCAACCGGGATTAAAGATCTATTTTCTCGGTGCTCTAACGTTGTCTAACACAAATAGAACCGGGACTAAAGATGATTTTTAGTCCGGGATTAAGGGCCTGTTTGGTACAGCTCCAACTCCTAAATATAACTCTAGGAGTTGAGTCTGGAGTGGAGTTGTGGAGCTGCCTAAACCCAGCTCCACAACTCTAGTACATTTTGTGAGAGTTTTATCCAACTCCACTCCTAGTTTTGGTGGATCTGAAACTGTTTGGCTGAGCTCCTGGAGCTGGAGATAGAGCTGTGCCAAATAGGCCCTAAAGATCATGAAGTCCCCGTGCACTTTTAAACTGAGACTAAAAATGGTTTTTAGTTCCGGTTTTTAGTTGAACCGGGACTATTGTGGCTTTTTGGCAACCGATCAAAAATGGTTTCTCCAGTATCTAGATGTGTTATATTACACATTAATGTTACTGTAATCATACTAAACTTCTGCACGAGGTTTCATCTACTAATATAAAAAATATTTCGCCCGAAAACTACCAATGGATAAAGAAAGTCACTATCGGTCCCCTGTGATCGCTCCCGCCTCCTCCCGTGTGTCACTCTCATCATCTCGTGCGTGCTACTAGAAACCGGCGTGCTCCCCATTAGTGAAGAATGAGAAGGATAGGGAAGGGGATTTCATTTGCAAGTTAGTGAGGGGAACTGTTGGGGTGTACTTAAAACAACCAAAATTTTGAGATTAGAAGCCATGCTGAGCATCTGTTGGCGATGCTCTTAGAGCACCATCCAAAAATCCAGTACCAAAACTATTCATTTACTTTCATCTAACCAAACCTGGATTTTTATGATCATTTTTTTTTACATAAAATGGCATATAGGTGTTGATGCGAAAAACACGAGGCCTGAGAGATCTGCTTAACTCCAGTGCAGGTCCAAAAATCTTGCCATTAGGTTCGTGAGCGTGCCAGTTGATTTGATTCTGCAATTAACAAGAAATAAAGTGTTTGGAGAGAAAAAATAAATTTTCGTCCCTCCGCACAGGGAAATAAAATAAAATAAGATGCGCGGGCGTGCAGTGTACTAAGTACACAAATAAAATAGACGAAGGAAAATGCATTTATTATAATTCTCAAAGAATTAAAAAATACAAAATCCTTGGTCAAATGCTCTCTATGGCCTGTAGGCAAGGTGGATCTGAATTGGCGATTGTGTTCTCCTGTTTCCCAGGGTCTCGGAAGACACCTGGTTAATTACTCTCGCGAGTTAAACTCGTGAGAAACCTCTGATTAAGCTGTGCTGGTCGTCGTTGGTCTTTGCTTCACATTCTCCCACTAGAACGGATACCCTCATCTCAATCGGGCGGTAAGCCCCATCTCAATCGGGCACAGCGTCCGTCACAGGCTAGAAGTCACTGATGTGAAGAGTTATCTCAATCGGGCAAACGGCCGTCACGAATGAATATATCTCAATCGGTTCCTAAGTAAAGCCCATCACTGATAGCTTTGACCCAGACGACCAGTCAAACTATAGCCCGTCACAGATGACCTATCTCTATCGGGCCACAACTAGCGCCCGTCACAGATGACTACTAACCTTTATCGGGCCTAAACTAGAGCCCGTCACAGATGATACTCATCTTAATCGGGCCTAAACTATAACCCGTCATAGATGACTGATGACCTCAATCGGGCCTAAACTAGAGCCCGTCACAGATGACTGCTGACCTCAATCGGGCCTAAACTAGATCCCGTCACAGATGACTAGTGACCTCAATCGGGCCTAAGCTAGAGCCCGTCACAGATGACCTCATCTCAATCGGGCATTTAGTTGTGGCCCATCACAGATGACTATAATCCACAAAAAAAATAAATTTTGTTTTTTGGCTAGCCTCAGGCCTTTGCTAGCCATGTCCGCTGCAAAAATGACAGAAACAAACACAGATATCCAATATCCCCAGCTCCCCAGCATCACCCATTCATACATATGCATTAACATACACAGACATCAACATATTTCACACAACCACACATTCACCGCCATCTCATATTTCACATCCATTCACATATTTCACATCCATTCAAATATTTATCATATTTCACCTGCAAAACCGAGTTAATTGGATCAAATATTTATTTAGCAAGTCTTAACATAAACATATGAAATATATACATAAATATAAGCATCACAGTTACATCATCACAGTTGCATAATAAGTGTTCATCATTGCCTAAACATAGAAGTTCAACATTGTTCATCATTTTAGTTTAAGCCTAAACATTCCTTTGGGGTTAATTATTTCGCGGAGGATGAAGCTGGCTATCTCCTCGCGAACCTCCTCAAAGCTGGTAGTCAGAGACTTGGTTATTGTGCCCTACATTGTCATAATTCCAGATTAGTTGATCGATCATATATAAGTACTAAAATGTAGTTAGTCTATCACAATTGAGACCACCGACCTCAAACTCAGCCAAAGTCTTCACCTTTTCTCTATACAGAAGTCGCATGTTGTGGCACACATGGAATTCGCACTGGTCACCTATTTGTTGCTTCACCGGGAAGTCTTTTTTGTGGATGAGGGTGTCATGTCCTGTCTTCCTGAGGCCTCCTCTTTGCACGTATTGGGCCCACGCTTCATCTATCGCTAGTTGAATTGGGGTCCAATCATATGCGTTCTTATCAATTCTGGAGTTCAGGTAATGACATGTACTCCATTTAGGTGTTATGACCAGAAGGATCCAATGGGCACTGCGGCATTAATATAGTGAAAGTTAATTAAGTACTCAAGCAATATGTCATGCTGTTGTGTATATTTAGTTAACACACTTACTATTGATTATAGGCACACATAATGTACTCCTTGTCTCGGCGGGACCACAAGGTGTCGTAGATGTAGTTGACCATTCCTTGACGGTCATTCTGGAGATTTGTGACAGTGACCACTTGTGGATCAAGGAAGGCAACTTCCAGTGCATGCTTCTGACACCATTGACAACTTAACCTACACACAGGATCAACAATCTTGTAAGCAAGTTAAACCGATTGTTATTACCAGAATGAGTTGGGCGACAATATTTACAAGGAGTAGCACTTAAGGAGGCTTGTGTCCACCGCTCGGAGCCTGTAGAGGTCGAAAAGATCCTTAAAGTCGACCACGACATAATTTGTTGGACCAAGGAATGGCTTTCCATCGTGCTGTCCAAGGATATCGGTAGCTTTACTTGGCTTCCTGGCGTTAGATTTCTCCATGTAGTATAAGTGAAGGTCCTTGCAAGCGGTGCCCATTGCGGCAAGCACGTCATCTCCAACCAATGGCATGCCTAGTTGGAACTCCTGTGGAGCGACGTATTTCTTCTTGACCTCTTTGCCCTTAGTCTCTTCCTGGCCCTTGCCCAGATCTAGCTTTCTTGGAGCTAGAAGCGAGGCCTGCACCTTTCCTCCTCTTCCTCTCCCCTTTGCTTCGGGTTTATCGAGAGTAATTCTCTGAGGGGAAGAGTGTGCCTTCCTGCTCTTCTTCATCGGTGGGGGTTCATGAATCGTCTTGCTGTCGGCCTCCGTTCGGTCCTCCCCAAAATCCGTGTCGTACTGCATCTGCACATCGTAAGATTGTGCATGACGATCTTGAGCAGGAGGGGCTGAAGGAGCAGAGGCGGGTCTCTTTGGTGGACGACCGCCTGGTGCAATGGTTGGCCTCGCTGTAACCCTGATCTCAATGAGGTCCTTGGGCCATTGGATGAAGGTACCACGGGCATTTCCTAGTGAGAGGACCTCGTCGTTCGGTGGATACTTCAGAGGGAACAGCTCGTATTTGGGCTTCACCGAGTCGACTTGAACTTTTGCACAGTCGGCCCTGAGTTGCGCTCCATGCACTCTTGTCTCTGGGGTTGGCTTGTACGCAAGTCCCTCGGCTGCTGGAAC